AGAGGGGAAAGAGGGAGGGAGAGACGGAGAGAGAGGAAGAGTGATTGAGTGCCTGACTGACTGAGCGAAACTAGAGACACAGAGAATGAGAATGAAAACGACGACGGTGTAAACAAAAACAAGCCCAAGTAACCGATACGCGAGCCTGGCCAAGGATACAATATGCCTGGACCAAGAACTAGGCCACTATCGCCACCCCCCCCCCCCCCCCTGCGCCCAGCGCCTACCACACGGCGTCCGTAAATACCTGTGGTGTCGAGGAGTCACGTGCCTTGTGGTCCTACGTAACAGTCGGTGGGAAACAGCGAGTTTGCGGATGGCACAGTTACCCGTACTCGCTACTGCGTGCGGGTGTTGTAAATCTGAAGCGCTTGTTACAGTTAGCGCCCGTTGCGCCGGTCGGTGGTTCGGCGTGGGAGGGCATAGTCGGAGGGAGGGTCGAGGAGGGGGATGGCCTGTGGAGGGCGCGTTGAGGGAGGGAATTCGAAGAGGGAAGGAGGTGCGCGGAGAGGAGAATGAGGGGAGAAGGCGAGGTTGGAAAAGGGGCCAAGTTGGGCGGAAGGGAGGGAGGGGCGATGGCGTACTTAATGAGGCTCATTTGAAGAGGTGCTGGAGGAGGTGGGAGTGGGCAGGTGAAGGGGGAAGGTCAAGTATGGGTACGCGGGATGTAGGGAGACTTTGGAGCCCTCTGCGGCGCACGCCGTGGGGTCGCCTCCGAGAGGGCTCCATCGCTATTCCCAACGTTCGTCGACAGCTTGGGCATTTTTCAGCATGCTGTCACTGTGGAATCTGTAGCCTCCCCACGAACATTAAAGATCGCATAAATAGAAAGAGAAAAATAAATTGACAAATCACTTGCGGAATCCTTGTATGAGAAGAGATGATTACATCCAGCATGGTAGCAAAATGATGCGCTCTTTTGGACTGGCATGAGGTTTAATGCGGGCTTTTTTCCCTGTATTCTTGACCCTCGTCCGCGGCATAAAGGCAAAAGGCACGCCTACTGCCTTTCTATTTTGAGATGTTTACCTACAATAGAGAGGATTACCGCGGGAGGGAGCCTAAGTGTTTGAGGTCTTCAGTAAACCGCCGTAGGGTGTACACGCGCGCTTTTGAAAACAGGCAAGAGTTCCTTTTGATTTACCTTTTACAGCGTCGAGGTTTCACACATCACCTAAAGTTGCGAAACATTGCCATAGCTTATAGATTGTTGGTTGTGTATTGCAGAGGTGTGCAATATAATACTGTCTTTATGTTTGTTTACTAATAATATCGTAGGATTGACCGCTGTTCGAGGTTTGTTAGGTCCCACGTGCGTGTGACTTCATCATAAGTATAAATAGTCGAAAGAGGAGGAATTCTCCTTGAGGTACGCTACGCCGATTTCGCCGAGATTTCGGAGAAAATCTTTTCTCAGATCTGATAAACAAAGGTGCAGTGTTATACCAGGTGCAAAAAAAAAAGGATTTTATACATAGTATATTTTATGTGCTTTGTTACTTGAAAGCGTTTTTATAGTTAATGGTTGCAGTGTAATCCGGTATCATCTCTGAAGGTCATTTGGTTCAGATGTCAATGCAGAGATTATACATGAAGAATCCCTTTGTTTTGACATAGTTGCATGAGATATTACTTTTGTGTCAGCTACCTTAGCCACGGAAAATTTCTATATTCTCTATTTCCTTTAGAATTTAGAATCATCGCCGAATTATTGTTCGTATTTTAGGTGTAAAACTTGCCTTTGTTGAGAAACTTCTTCCACAGAATAACTCGCATCTGCATTTAAGATTCGTACTGATATTGCAACCATAATTTCCTGCATTATGCTTCCATGGGCTTTAACAATAGGCAGACGCGTTTTATATTCATAACCGTCGCGTTTATAGTGGACAGAATTCCGTATAATCTCGGCAGGAAAAACAAACGGTTGTCAGGTGGCTTTTAAGAGGCAACAACTCGCTTTCCAAAGTTAATACTGATGATTGTTCTTGTTGTGAAAGACCCGCCGACGAGCACTGTTGCGAAATGAGGAGACATGTATGTTCATAAAGTGTTTTTGTTGGCAGCATGTCGGCGACGGTGTTCACAGCGAATGGTCGTTAGTCTGGCTTTCCGGATTCGTGCGTTGGGCGGTTTCCTTATTAACGTTCTAGATTGCACGGGGATTGTCGACAAGGTGACTGGATACTTCTTTAAGCGTTTGCAGGGTCTTGGAAGTGTGTGACGCCAGTTCTTTGAACGGGTGAGAGCAGGTCTTTAAGTGGTGACAGGGGGCGCTGTGAGAGGCAATGAAAAGCCTAATTGTTCCAGATGCCGAATTCACATGGTTCTAAATGGGTGAAAGTTCTATAAAAGTTGGTGGCGTGACGCTTCCTCTCGGGGTCGTCACACTGTTATATGAGCGCGGAGGGAACGCAGGACGCTACATGTGGCTGCGTCAGTGTGTCCAGCATGACTCATCCTGGGACTCCTCGCCGCGCAGCCCTCGCCCTCCCCGCCCCTGCCCCTCGCCGCCTCGGGCTCCCTTGTGAGGATGTTACAGGGTTTGTGCGGGCTGACTGCGGTCGAATAGTCCCTAAGTCTTAGTCACGGCTGAAGATGTCATGCTTGGCCTGGTGTGTAAGGACGCCTACCTGTTGCTGATGCTCGAGTCTTGGGAGGAGGAGAGCCTCTGGGCGAGATGCTGCTGCGGCTGGGTTTAGTCCCCAGAGTGGAGTCGGCCCTCAAGCGGGAACTCGGGCCAACGGTCATTCTAGACGTGACCCTCAAGTGTAGGCCGGGGTAGATGGGTGGGTGGCGAATGCGCGGGCGGGACAGGGTGGCCGCCGGGCGAGCCACATAATGTTGTTATGGCAGACTTACCACACTTATTACCCCGTGGGGTCGGATGTGTGAGATTAGCTCGGACTGTGCAGGCTGGCGGGCCTTGAGATGCACGCAAACCGAAGTTAACGACAACACAATGGTAATAAGGTAAAATTCCCACGACGTCAACATTGCCCGGCCCAGCTGTGGCACTAGCGTCAGTGTGCAGAACTGAGTCTCGCTTTCAAGGTGATGCATCTCGGTGCCTGTGATGCTGACTTTCGTTGGCATCGCGGGGGCTTCGCAGTGCTGCAGTGATGTCGGTGTGGTGTGCACGAGAAAGCGACGAAACGGAACGAAGCCAAACGGAAGATCAGCCTGTCTCCGTCGCTAACTGTGGCGTTATTGTAAAACGTCTTTTCTCTTGCCGAACAATGGTGGAATCGGTGGCCCTCATGTGCACGCGGTGAGGATGATGGTCATTTGATTGTTGCGTTTAATGGCAACAGAAGAACATTCGTGTTTTAAAGCCAACATCGCGGCCTAGAATCTCATATCGTGCTACGATTTGCTCTCTCGGTTTTTAAGAGATAGAATGAATGTAATTTGTAATGTGCGAAAATAAGTGCAACACCTTATCAGATGTGCCTTTGATGTTAATTGATCTGACCTTGACTCCTGTCATTATTACTTCCGATATTATAAAGGAATCTGATCATGGAATGTCGGCTTTAAACTTCAAGGACACTGGGTGTATGTGGAAGGTTTCGGCTTTTTTGTATGTATGCGTAGTGTGTCTTTTTGGTATTTGTGTATTTTCGTCTTTACTTTTAATTGCTAATCATTACCATTTAAGTGGTATATAATGGTGGTGGTAGTAATGGTGGATAGCTGATAAGGACACAACGAAAATGGGAACAACAATGCTGACGATGACGGCGATTAAATGATTATGCATTGCTTTGTTATTGTTATTGTTATTATTGTTATTATTATTGTTGTTATATTTTTATTAGTAGTAGGGATAATAGTAGCAGTTGAAGTAGTAGTAGAAATAATAATAGCAGCAGCACTACTACTACTACTACTACTACTACTACTACTACTACTACTAGTACTACTACTACTACTACTACTACTACTACTACTACTACTACTACTACTACTACTACTGTTACTACTACTACTTCTACTTCTTCAACTAGGACTACTACTTTTTTCTACTAATTCTACTAGTGCTGTTAATATGACTACTACTACTACTACTACTACTACTACTACTACTACTACTACTACTACTATGCTACTACTATGCTACTACTACTACTACTATGCTACTACTATGCTACTACTATGCTACTACTATGCTACTACTACTACTACTACTACTACTACTACTACTACTACTACTACTACTACTACTACTACTACTTCTACCACTACCACTACCATTACCACTACCACTACCACTACCACTACTACTACTACTACTACTACTACTACTACTACTACTACTACTACTACCACTACTACTACTACTACTACTACTACTACTACTATTACTATTACTACCACTACTACTACTATTACTACTTCTGCTTGTACTTGTATGATTACTACACTATTACTGTTACAACTGCTATTACAACAACAACACCTACTACTTTTACTGTCACTACTTCTACAGTTACTGCTTCTACTACTACTACTACTACTACTACTACTACTACTACTACTACTACTACTACTACTACTACTACTACTACTGTTACTACTGCTACTACTACTGCTGCTACCACTACTGCTGCTACCACTACTGCTACTACCACTGCTGCTACTACTACTATTACTACTATTACTGTTACTATTACTACTACTACTACTATTACTGTTACTATTATTATTATTATTATTATTATTATTATTATTATCATTATTATTATTATTATTATTATTATTATTATTATTATTATTATTATTATTATTATTGTCATATTTCAAACATATCCAGTGCAAAATCCTTATTTGAAGCTAAAATAGATTGTGTAAAAGTCTCAACAGCAAAAAGAATACTGGCAGATTTACATATTTACATGTATATCTATACTTACCCTTGTTATGTATATTTTTTCATCTTCGTTGCTGTTGATTTTTTTTTATATCTAGCTATTAATTGTTTATTTGTTTTATTGCAGACAACGTAGCAGCAAGCAATATAGTGGTCGGGGTCCCTCACGGATTGGAAGGCCAGCGGCAGTCGCTGCCCCCAGGTCGAGCATCCCAGTCGCCAAAGCCGCCAACCTGCCTACCCAGATCCCAAGTGCCCCCACCCATACCCATGCCCAGCAGGTAGGACTGGTAGGCATGCGAGTGGTGGCTGTTGAGGTATGAGTGGCTACGGTTCACAGTTTATGATTGTGGTGTATAGGGAGTGCTAGTCATAGGTGGTGTTCAGGGTCTGTTCTGGTATATATTTGATATATACCAGATATATTTGTTATATATATATTTTTTGTTATATATATATTTATGATACTAAAGCATTTAAAAGTTAAGAGATTTCTGAGATGATAATTCTTTTTCTGATATTTGTAGTGGATTATATACAGTTCCATTTTTTGGCCATGATCATTATATATGTGCTTGTTTTGTTGAGTAATAAGTGTAAAACATTGTCATGATAAATTGTATCTTAAAAGCAACTTTTATAGTAGTTTATTTTGCCAGTGCTACCTTGGGTAATTAATACACTAGAGTTGTATTCAACCTTGTGCAATTTTTGATAGAGAGTTCTTCCACAGGGCATTGGCGGTGGGGTTTGGGGAGGAGATACCCTGCGCACCTACTGCACAGAGGACACGCCTGCCAACATCTCTCATGCGGCTTCCATCTCGGACCTGTCTCAGCTGTCAATACCTGGGGAGGAATCTGGCAAGGACCTGCATGGCCCAAGCTTGCGTCCCAGTCTCAATGACTCTGGCGACAACTCCTCTGACAATGACAACCTCTTGGAGCAGTGCATTCAATCTGCCATGCCCAAGGTAGTCTTTTTTGTCAAGGAAATTTCTTTTTGGACTGGATGAGTAACTGGAATATTGATAAGAATTTGCTTTTAATTCAGTTTACAAAGCTTCATGTATGTAAACTTTCATGTCTTATCAGACTATTCAGAACTTTATTATAATTCTCTTCCCAACTGTTGCAGGCATTTTTTTTTTCTCGTAAGGCTATGACATTGAAATTGTATTTTGAAATTGTACATTGATAAAAACTAATTTTTCTCCTGAAATCAGTGCAGAACAGAGAGCATATTTAAGTCATAATTCTTTGGTTGACATACATATATATGTATGTATATAACTATGTCTAACTATTAGTCAGTCTATCTATTTATCTATCTTTCTCTCCATATCTACCTATTTATCTCTCTCTCTCTCTCTCTCTCTCTCTCTCTCTCTCTCTCTCTCTCTATATATATATATATATATATATATATATATATATGTATGTATGTATGTATATATGTATGCATGTATATAAGTCTTTATGTGTGTGTGTGTGTGTGTACATATATGTGTGTATATGTGTATATGTATATACATACACATATACATATATATATATATGCACACATATATATGTATATATTCATACTTACACATGCACATATAAACATATATATATACATATATGCATATATATGAAGATAAACATTTATATATGCATATACATATACATGTACATGTACAATCATATACATATACATATACATACACATATACATATACATACACATATACATACACATATATATACACACATATATTTACATATACATACATGTACATATACATACATGTATACACACATACATGTACACATACATTTTTTATTTTGATTTCTTATTCATTTGGCTAAAAACTATTTTAAGGCTTATCTTTAATTATCAGTTAGCTGCTTGATAATTCATAGAAATAGAGATTTTGTATTTCATAGACAAACCACTGACAAGGTATGTTTTTTCAGGCTCGTCCTGGTGCAAAGGTGAAGGATGTTAAGATTGGAGTGAAGCGTCATGGAACAGGTCATTTATGCAGTCATGGAGTTCCTCCTCCAACAGCCCCAGTTCTGCCATCTCCAAGAAGGTCCCCTCATCATAGACCGGTACCAGTTGCCAGGGTCACTCCTGCTGTCAAGGTTGCTGGAACTCGAGTCTCACCACATCCACCCAGTGGTATCGAGGATACCTCCAAGGATCAAGTGCGGATGTGGGCCACAGAGGGCACACCTGCAACTTTCTCTCGTGCAGATTCCCTTTCCTCCTTGAGCTGCGAGGATGAAATGAACCGTGCCAGCCGGGATCCTAGCCCTCGCACCCCACAATCTCCACGGGCAAGGACTCCCCAGTCACCACAGCCTCAGGCACAGACAACTCGACCAAGGACACCTCAGTCACCACGCATGCGAAGGTCTAGACAACAGCACATGCAACAGCGAGGGCAAGAAATGGTTGAGGAAGATGAAGAAGTACCAAAGCAGTTTGCTGTGGAAGGCACCCCAGGAGTAATATCTCGGCATTCCTCACTAAGCTCTTTGGAAGGTGATAGTCCAGTCATTCAGCCTCAAAATGCACCACAAGCCACTGGAGTTCATAAATACGGAGTGGAAGATACACCTGTCTGCTTCTCAAGAAACTCCTCTCTTAGCTCTCTGTCTGTTGACTCCTATGGAGAAGAAACAACGCCCACAGAACAGGCCTTATTGCAGCAGTGCATCAGTCAAGGGATGCCCAAGAGTAAATCAGACTTGGAAGGCCGAAGGAAGCGTCGTGGAGGATCACGCATACCAGCCCCATCTTCCCGATCACCAGCACGTCTTGTACCTGGTGTCCCTATGCAGAGACTCACTCTTTGTAGGGAACAACCATCATCCCCGTCAAAAAATGTGGAGGCGACGGCGGCAGCTGTGGAGGAAGTGGAGACAGATGCCGTCCTGTACACTCCGGACGCGGAGAGCTCGAAACTACGCACGGACTCGGAGCAGAGCGAGAAGAATGAGAGAGCATACAGACATGTAGAGGAAGAGGAAATTGAGGATGAAGAGGAAGAGGAAGAAAGTCATACTGACCATACAGAAATTGAGTCTGTGAAGACAACAACAACTGCAGAAATTTGTGATCTCAAGAGTGAAGTAACAAGCGAAGGGAGTGCTGCTACAGTTGTGACCCAGCCCTTGAGAAAAGAGGAAAAATCGCCTGTGGAACCTGAAGAGCAGCGTATCAGTGAAGAGTCAGTGGAAGGCATAGGATCATCTCCAGAGGAAAAACAATCATGGGAAGACCAAAGACGTTCTGGTGATAAATCATCGCCATCTGAGGGAAGAGGATCTGATACCTCAGTAACAGCATCCATGTCTGAGTCAGGCCTAATTGCAGTAGAAGCAATGAAGGTAGCAAGAGCAGTTGCAGGAGAAGCAAAACTTATGAGCAGTGATGAAACATCTCACATGTCCCATAGCATAGCTAGTGCTGCTTCAGATGCTTGTATCGATAATATCAAGCCACCATCAGCAATGGGAAGTCTGGCTTCAATGTCCAATAGTCTCACAAGTAGTGCTGAGGAACGTCTGCCTCGCACTGGCAACCGTCGCTTAGAATGCCGTCACACACGACGTCTTCCTGAAATGGTGCGACGGGCACTTGGAGACCAGGACTATGGCTCTAATGAAAACATGGCTAGTATGGCAAGCTCTTGCCATTCTAACTTAGATAACATCCCACCACCATCCATGCTTGATGATGATATGGAAAACTCAATGATCAGTGTAGCCTCCATAACTTCTGAGGTAGCAGAACAGCGCGAGTCACCGCCTTCTCCTCCTGTAGACCACACTGCACAGGTTGCTGCTCCTGCTCGTCAGCTGGCTGCTATCTTCCGTCAGGAGGCCATGAATGCTGCATCCACACTTACCTTGACAGGTGGAGATGAAGCTTCAACCTACCAGGAGATCACAGACATCACTGAGCATGAAGATACAGTTGGCCCTGCAAGCGACACAGAAATGGCAGCAGATGAATTGCCATCAGATATCCCTGATTTACCCCAAGATGGCTTCTCTTCAGCATCTCAGTCTTCTCCCCACAGACTTGGCACACCCCGGTCTCGAAGACAGCAGGCAAAGGACAGGTTCCGGACCTTCACAAGAGGTGATGGAGAAATGTCTGATGCAACACCATCACAGGATACAGATCCGACTCTGGTAGAAGTTCTACCCTCATCACCCTCAGTCACTCGAACACCAAAGCAGCGTCGTCAGGACGATTCTGAAAGATTTAGAACTCGCACTATATCAACAGATAGTACACTAACTAACACTCCTTCTGATATGGGTTCTATTGAAGCAGAAAAAGAAAAAATCAGTCCACGAAGATCTCCAAAAGAGAGACGTCAACAAGACCCAAGTCGCTTCCAAACTCACACCATTAGTGAGAGTCCAGCCACTCCAGAGACTGCCCAGGAAGCTGCAGGACTGAAAATTGAAGATCTAGAAGCACCATCATCACCGCCAAAGCTGCAGGGTAAGCAGTCATTTAGGCAGCGAAGGCAGGAGGATCGGGAACGATACCAAACAAGAACCATTGATGTGCCATTATCTGACATAACGCCAGATGCTGAAGCACAGGCTGTAGCAGATGAAGACAAAGAGGGTGATGGAGAAATGTCTGATGCAACACCATCACAGGATACAGATCCGACTCTGGTAGAAGTTCTACCCTCATCACCCTCAGTCACTCGAACACCAAAGCAGCGTCGTCAGGACGATTCTGAAAGATTTAGAACTCGCACTATATCAACAGATAGTACACTAACTAACACTCCTTCTGATATGGGTTCTATTGAAGCAGAAAAAGAAAAAATCAGTCCACGAAGATCTCCAAAAGAGAGACGTCAACAAGACCCAAGTCGCTTCCAAACTCACACCATTAGTGAGAGTCCAGCCACTCCAGAGACTGCCCAGGAAGCTGCAGGACTGAAAATTGAAGATCTAGAAGCACCATCATCACCGCCAAAGCTGCAGGGTAAGCAGTCATTTAGGCAGCGAAGGCAGGAGGATCGGGAACGATACCAAACAAGAACCATTGATGTGCCATTATCTGACATAACGCCAGATGCTGAAGCACAGGCTGTAGCAGATGAAGACAAAGAGGGTGATGGAACACTGGTTGATTTCCAGGACAGTAATGAAATGCTTGATTTAACAGCAGAACAACTAGAGGCATTGCAGCAGGATGCCAATATTGTAATATGTACCCTTAATGAAACCAGGGAGGCTATGACAAGTGAGTCATCAGACCTTCTAAGTGAAGAAAATATATTAGATATAGAAACGCTTAGCTTGATATCAAATGAAGATGAACTAGATTTGAAAAATTTTCTTAGGGACGCAGATGAAGACCCCCCTGATAAAGGAGAGGAGGAAGAAGAAGAAGAAGAGGAAGAGGAGGAGGAGGAGGAGGAAGTGCAGCAGATTCTGCGTCGGCCTAGAATTGTGAAACCAGGAGAAGAGGCACCAAGGCCCGCAGAAGAGGATGAAGGTGCTGGGAAAGGCATTCGGGGTCGAAGAAAACCATTATATTCAAGTGCTCGTAAGTACAGTGCTACACCTGCAAAAACTGCTGCTACATCTGCTAGTCCAGCCAGAATTATTCCAGTGCGCTCTACCCCTGGACGCCCTAGTTCTGCTTCCCCTGTAAAACCATCTTCCCCAAAGCTTCCACGGGCAACTAGGGCATCAGCTTTGCGACAAACCTCCAACATCCAGAGAGGAGGAAGCAGTGGGGAGGAAAGCCCAACTGGGAGGGCCACAGGCTCTTCAGCAGGCAGCAGTGCAGGTTCTAGTCCTCGTTTAGGGCCTGCTGGGAGAGGCACAATCACTCGACCAGCACGTTCTAAATCCTTAGCAAGACCTGGCCCTGATCCTCCGAGACCTTTGCGTCGTCAGAACACATTTACAAAGGATGATAGTGATACACCCTTAAGCCCAGAAAGAACAGTGCAAGTTGAGAGTAAAAAAGCAGCTGCACCTGTTCGGGGGATCTCTAAACCAAGGATAAGGAGGGACACTGTACAACCAAGCCCTTCAGTCCGCACTGCTATTCCAAAGAGTGGTAGTCAGGACTTGAGTCCAACAAAGGGCCGCCCTCCACACAAAAAAAAAAAAAAAAAAAAAAAAAAAAAAAAAAAAAAAAAAAAAAAAAAAAAAAAAAAAAAAAAAAAAAAAAAAAAAAAAAAAAAAAAAAAAAAAAAAAAAAAAAAAAAAAAAAAAAAAAAAAAAAAAAAAAAAAAAAAAAAAAAAAAAAAAAAAAAAAAAAAAAAAAAAAAAAAAAAAAAAAAAAAAAAAAAAAAAAAAAAAAAAAAAAAAAAAAAAAAAAAAAAAAAAAAAAAAAAAAAAAAAAAAAAAAAAAAAAAAAAAAAAAAAAAAAAAAAAAAAAAAAAAAAAAAAAAAAAAAAAAAAAAAAAAAAAAAAAAAAAAAAAAAAAAAAAAAAAAAAAAAAAAAAAAAAAAAAAAAAAAAAAAAAAAAAAAAAAAAAAAAAAAAAAAAAAAAAAAAAAAAAAAAAAAAAAAAAAAAAAAAAAAAAAAAAAAAAAAAAAAAAAAAAAAAAAAAAAAAAAAAAAAAAAAAAAAAAAAAAAAAAAAAAAAAAAAAAAAAAAAAAAAAAAAAAAAAAAAAAAAAAAAAAAAAAAAAAAAAAAAAAAAAAAAAAAAAAAAAAAAAAAAAAAAAAAAAAAAAAAAAAAAAAAAAAAAAAAAAAAAAAAAAAAAAAAAAAAAAAAAAAAAAAAAAAAAAAAAAAAAAAAAAAAAAAAAAAAAAAAAAAAAAAAAAAAAAAAAAAAAAAAAAAAAAAAAAAAAAAAAAAAAAAAAAAAAAAAAAAAAAAAAAAAAAAAAAAAAAAAAAAAAAAAAAAAAAAAAAAAAAAAAAAAAAAAAAAAAAAAAAAAAAAAAAAAAAAAAAAAAAAAAAAAAAAAAAAAAAAAAAAAAAAAAAAAAAAAAAAAAAAAAAAAAAAAAAAAAAAAAAAAAAAAAAAAAAAAAAAAAAAAAAAAAAAAAAAAAAAAAAAAAAAAAAAAAAAAAAAAAAAAAAAAAAAAAAAAAAAAAAAAAAAAAAAAAAAAAAAAAAAAAAAAAAAAAAAAAAAAAAAAAAAAAAAAAAAAAAAAAAAAAAAAAAAAAAAAAAAAAAAAAAAAAAAAAAAAAAAAAAAAAAAAAAAAAAAAAAAAAAAAAAAAAAAAAAAAAAAAAAAAAAAAAAAAAAAAAAAAAAAAAAAAAAAAAAAAAAAAAAAAAAAAAAAAAAAAAAAAAAAAAAAAAAAAAAAAAAAAAAAAAAAAAAAAAAAAAAAAAAAAAAAAAAAAAAAAAAAAAAAAAAAAAAAAAAAAAAAAAAAAAAAAAAAAAAAAAAAAAAAAAAAAAAAAAAAAAAAAAAAAAAAAAAAAAAAAAAAAAAAAAAAAAAAAAAAAAAAAAAAAAAAAAAAAAAAAAAAAAAAAAAAAAAAAAAAAAAAAAAAAAAAAAAAAAAAAAAAAAAAAAAAAAAAAAAAAAAAAAAAAAAAAAAAAAAAAAAAAAAAAAAAAAAAAAAAAAAAAAAAAAAAAAAAAAAAAAAAAAAAAAAAAAAAAAAAAAAAAAAAAAAAAAAAAAAAAAAAAAAAAAAAAGCCCCTCCACAGCCAAAGTCAACAAGCTTAACGCGTGATGCCCGTCCACCAACGTCTAGTGACATGGCTGAGTGGCGTCCAGACTCAAAAAAAACTGTCAAGAAGGAGGTAACTAGTCGCATTGCTAATTTATGGAAGAAAGTTGAACGAGCACAATCCAAACCAAAAGACGAAAAGAAAGACGGACGTGTTTGGATATCACGGCCAAAATCGGCGGCAAAGGAAACTCCTCCTCGACCACTTGTGAGGAGTTCCACTTATGAAAAATTACCAGGTGTAGAGAGTTCCAGTGCGAGCAGTGACACGGGAAAGAGTAGAACTCGCTTAGGTCTTAAATTAGCAAAGTTAAGAGGTCGTGACACCAGGTCCTCTCCACCATCAGAGGCCACCACACCTGTAGATTCACGTCCACATTGCTTAGTCAGCCCAACTCGGTCGAGAATGGCAGAAGTTCATGTGCGACAGTCAGAAACAGTACAACTTCGACAAAGACCAGCTACTCACCCTCCAGCTGTTGGACAAGGGGAGGAGGACAGTGAAGCCCGGGCCAAGAGATTGTCTCGACTCGGTTCCTTCATTGTAGTGGAGGAAGATGGAAGAGTAAGATCCCCACCACAGTCTGCCATTGTTCCACCATTCAATTATCAGCCTCCAGTTGCACCAAGAGTTCGATCTGCAGTTGCGACTCGTATACCTCAGCCTTCCAAATCACTTCTTTCCAATGCTCCCTGTGCCCGTGATGACAATGGAAATGCCGCCGATCCCTCGGTTGTGACGGGAGCCTGGCGGCCCTGACCCCAACCCCCGCGCCAGACACACAGTGCCCAAGATCCCCAAACAAATACCCATGGGGCGCGGGGGAAAGTGACAACAGAGACACTGGGCTGTTGAGCCCCTGTGATCCTTAATAATTTATGTTCTCTTATTTACCAACCATGTGTTTAAGCTCCACATAGCCATATAATGTTGTTTGTAGGAGATGGACATTCTCTCTAGCTAGTGACTGGTGCCTGATAATATACAGGAGAGAGGGCCTTCACTGCCTCAGTACCCCTATGAGAGTTTTTTGTTCCAGCAAGTCAAACCAAGTTACGGGCTTTACTCACTAACAGCAGCCTGGCACATGAGCTACCCAACCGTGTACATAGACTGCCCATACCATTTTAGTCATGCATTTCAATCCTTTACTTTTAAGTGGCTTGTGTATAGAAGATTTATTTTTACTCAATATTTTAGTGCATTTCTCTGCATTTAGTGTTCTTATACCTGAAAATTATCAGTAAAGTAAAAAGAAAGATAATCCACAGATCATATTCCAGGTTTGTATACTTTCCCAAAATTCATACAAAGATAAACTTGATTTGAAGTGGTGGCTTGTGTAAGCCGGGAGTGGAGATCTACATAACCTTACACTTTATCATGTTATTTTACAGGAAGACTTATAACAGCGTTTCCCTATAGTGGCCATCCATGACAGCCCTCCAACTGTAAACCTCTGTTGGCAAAGCTTTATGGTGCATTTATCAGTTTTTATTGTTTTCTATGGTCTTAATTTCTAATAAATAATTTATTCAAGGTTTTATGTGTTGATTTCCTTTATTTTCTGTTTTAGATTTTTTTAATGCTCTCATTGTATTAAGGAATTAATTTTATTTTGCATTGCTTTTGTTTGTTTTATACATTGAGGTCTTTCTAAGCACAGCTGAAGATTTAATACTCTATGTACCATCAGTGAGAAAATATTCATCTATAATAATCACTGAATAGATCTCCATCCTTATGTATCACATCCAGTACTGTATTTATCTATCAGCTTACATACAGCTACTTTTATAGACTGAAGTACTGGATAGTAATTGTGAAAGTCCAGTTAGTTTTTATAGGTTACTTGAGACCAGAAACTGCAAGCTTTAGTGGTAGAACACAAGAAAACCAAGTTCTTAAATTGCGATACAGAATCAAATACATTTGCCTCTGGGAAAAAGATGAAGCTAGCATATTGTTCTTGTAAGATGTACACATTAGAGATTTTCTAAGTAATAGCAGTAATTATAAGTAATGTAAGCACAATGAATAGTCAAATGGGCTTTATGATTTTAGCTTTCAACTAAATAACTAGCATTGTCCCTTGATAATAGAAAAAAGTTTATATGAAACTTGAACTGAGCTGGTTATGCCACTCCATCTATTTTTCATAAGTATTTTATCATTAAGCTGTGTAAACGATACCTCGTGTCAAAATTTCTGATTTTCTGGTAAAGAAAGGCAGGCACAGAATGCACTGAGTCAGACTAAGAAAGTGTGCAATGCGTTCTGTAATGAAAAGCCGTATACATTATGTTGATAATGTAATTATAGGTATATTTGCAGAGCATAAGTACTCCCCAGATTATTAGAGCAGTAGAAGCTTGAGATTTAAGAAGGGCTTTTTAATGTGAAATATAATGCTTCTTATATATTATTTTGCCCAGAACTTGAGAGAATGGTAATCAAGTAGCCTTCTGTTGCAAGATCCATTTTCATCACATGAAATGAATGCTCTCAGAATGCTTTAAGGTCTATCAGAAGCAATTTTGCTTGTGGTAGTGTCCTTTACCATGACATCAGATCTGCTTTGAAGAACTGTACATCAACGGTCTCTGGTGGTCTGGGGAGGTCATTGCAGCTGCCACGTCGTCAGGGTCGTCTAGAGTATATCTCCAGACTGGACTGCTGGAAGAGTGGGGCAACAGACCATAATGTCTGTACACAACACTGTAATGGAAAATGTGAATATTTTGTCCTTGTCCTTGTCTGAAAATAATTTAAAATCATGTTATTATCATGCATGCATTTGTTAAGTATATGAAATTTGTACAGTCAACATAGATTTTCCCATGTCCATGACACTGCAGAACACTTGTGTGCAGGTCTGTTATAATGAACAGTGTGAGTAAGTTTTCTGAGTGCATTTACACAACCAGTCATTGATTTATACATATACTGTACTTTAAAAGCTTCTTTTTATTTGTGTTTTGACAATTGTGGTTGTATAGGGATACAGCTTGCATGATCCACTTCCTAACCAAAAGATCTAAAAGGCTGTTTCATGAAATATACATAATGATCTCATTACTCTGTATGTCATGGGAAATATTTTCTCAGACATTAATTGTTGGCATGTTTTGTGGTGGTTTTAAGGCTTTTGTTCTGGGTGCTGGATGTAATGTACTCATTCTCTTCATCTGGGTACTGAATGCAGTGAATGGCCTCTCTCCTTCTTTTGGGTGCTGGATACAGTGAACTGACTCTCCTTCTTGTCTCTGTATGCAATATCCAACTTTTCTTCATTATCATATGATTTAACATAGTATTATGATAAATTAAATACTTGTATGTATGTTGATCTTTCTTTCACCTGACAAGATGAATGATTATGAGATAAACTGAATTGTTGGGAAGTGGCATAATATCAAAGTAATGTTTGAATTTTTTCTCCATTCCAAAATCTAGTATCTTTTTCTTACTTTGAGTTGTATCCACATATCCAACATGATAGTATATCTTGTGATATTTTTTTAATTCTGAATAAATCTGGAAGATGAGTAGTCTAGACTGACCAGAAATGCATTATTTGTTTTAAGGGAATACTGTCTTGGTTATAGAACTTTAGCACATGCAAATACTTTCTGGTATGTTGCACTAATGGTGATATACTTTCATACTACTTTCACATTTTCTATCAGTTAATTATCTTTGTATAAAGGAAATAGATAGTAATTTTGTATGCCCCATTTACCATCATAATATTTATGAATTCAGGAATGATATTGTGGCCATATGAATGTTTAGTGCAAAAGTAAGAAAAGTTCAGGAGAGTTTTGGCAGTGTGATGAAACCATTCCCTCAGTCTATACTTGCAAACGCAAGTCATTAAACAAGTAAATTCCCTCAGAATTATACAGGTACAGAGCTTGCATCACATCATGCATAAGAAGTCCATTCTTCAAATTGGTAACCAAAAGCAAGAATGAATGGTTGAGAAAACATTTTCCTGGACAGTGGTAAATATATGTCAACGTTATTAAAATAAAAAGACACAAGATAACACATTTTAAAAGGATAGTAACTAACAGTTGATTTACAAATTATTCATAAAACCGTATGAAATCATGAATATTTAACAATGTCACCTGTTCTTTTCAAGACCGGAGCCAACAAATTATTATCTCATTTCTCTCACGTCGATTGTTTGCAAAATCTTTAAACATAATGCCCAGACACATCATGAATCACATTGACTCTCACAGCATCCTTGCAGACTCGTAATACAGTTTTCGGCCGGAACGTTCATGCAAGACAATCTAAATCCACAATGACATAGCTAAACTATTAGATGCCACACTGCTTGGCCTCGCCAAAGCCTACAGAAGACTGACACTAGAATTATAGTATTATTGCATCACAGGACCAATTCTTCACTGAATTACTGCCTTGCTGATGTGTATGATGCAATGCGTCCTGCTTGACAGTTCATCTTCTGATAGTGTCCCGCCATTCTTGGTCCGCTTATTTTTCATCTATATGTTAATGATTCCTGTCCACACCTATCACTTACGCTAGAATTTTTGCTGACAACAATCTCTTATTTTGACTCATTAATAATGAAGAGGACTACATGGTCCCCCAACAGGACACAGGCACCCTTGGTCCATGGGAATACATATGCCAAATGACATTCAGTCCCGATAAATGCAGGTACTCCAAGTCATCACACCACATATACCAGGACAGTATAACTACACAAGCAACCAAGAGTTGACATCCACATCATCCTATAAATACCTCAGAGTACACCTCACACAAAACCTTAACTTCAATACACACATGACTGGATCAGCAAAGGCAACACAACACCGGGATTCCTGAGGAGAAACCTAGACAATTGCACACCAGACGTCAAACACATAGCTTACAACACACGTACGATCAACACTGGAGTACTGTATGGTTGTATAGGGCCTGTTCAACAAATACAACATTGAGAAGTCCGAACAGGTCAACACTTGAGCTGCCAGATTTACTACACACAATTACAGCTAAAAACAGCGGAATGTGGATCTTCTAGTCACGAATACAAACACACAGACTTACAATCCTAAGCAAGGTCGCATACAAACATATTGACATTAACAAATAAGAATACTTACAAGCAGCACATACACGTAGCACACGAAATTCTTAGACCAACACTCTTACTAATTTTTCCCACGCGATTAACACAATACATCAAAGAAACAGGGACACTAAAAATCTTCACAGACAATCTAAACTAACATCTAATAAAACTCGCACTGCAATTTGTTCTACAGATGTTACCCCCACCCCAAGTAACCAACAACTTACGAGTGATATATGCCAAGTTTGCGGCCTGCGTACCATAAGTTGATAAAGATTGAGATATTTAAGTCCCACCTCGAATGGCGAGGCAATAGAAAACGAAGAGAACCGGAATCAGTAATATAGATGGTAAACTCAAAGAGAAATTTAATGAACACATATAATATATATATATATATATATATATATATATATATATATATATATATATATATATATATATAT